GTAAACATGAAGAGTTACTTAGTCACGTTAATAATGAAGAAAATATAAAGGAAACCAAATGGGATATCATTACACACCTGTCAGAATGACTAAAATTAAAAAGACAATATGGGCCAGGCTCAGTGGTTCATGCCTGTAATCCTAGCACTTTGGGAGGCTGACGGGGGTGGATCACTTGAGGTCAGGAGTTTGAGACTGGTGTGGCCAACATGGTGAAACTCCGTCTCTACTAAAAATACAAAAGTTAGCCAGACATGGTGGTGCACACCTGTAATCCAAGCTACTGGAGAGGCTGAGGCAGAAGAATTGTTTGAATCTGGGAGACAGAGGTTGCTGTGAACAGAGATCATGCCATTGCACTCCAGCCTGGGTGACAGAGCAGGACTCCATCTCAATCAATCAATCAATTAAAGACAATATGAGTGTTAGCTAGATGTGGAGTAACTGGGATTCTCATGTGCTGCTTATAGGAGTGTAAACTGGTAACAATCATAGATGAACACATATATACCTTATAACCTAGCAGTTTTATTTCTGGATATATAGTGTGCATGTGTTTGTATTGTGTGTGTGTTTATATAATATATAAAAGCATTCATACTTATATAAACACACATACAGTACACATGTGCACACCAGATATTATGTACAAATACATTTATAGCAGCACTATTTGCAAAAGTTGAAAACTAGAAACAACTAGAATGTCTGTCAGTAATAGAATGGATTTTGATGGCTACATATTATATAATGGAACATTATAACATATAATAACATATGTATAATGTAATATAACCATTAAAACCAACCATCAGCTGCTACAGACAATAACATTAATTTCGAAATAATGCTGAACAAAAGAAAATATTTCTATGAAGTTGAAAAGCAGAGAATACTAGTTTATGCTAAGGATGGTGGTTACCTTTGGGAAGAAGCCGTGGTTATCTTTCTGTTTTTGAACATGGGTGGCGATAACATGTTTGTGTTCATAGCATGATAATTTATTGAGCTGTACTTGTGATTTGGACACTTCTCTGTTCTATGTGAAACTTTATTATTAACATTTTTTTTTTTTTTTTGAGACAGAGGCTTGCTCTGTTGCCCAGGCTGGAGGGCAGTGGGTGATCTCAGCTCACTGCAACCTCTGCCTCCTGGGTTCAAGTGATTCTTCTGCCTCAGCCTCCCGAGTAGTTGGGATTAAAGGCACAGGCCACCACGCCCAACTAATTTTTTGTATTTTAGTAGAGATGCCATTTCGCTGTGTTGCCCAGGCTGGTTTGGAACTCCTGAGCTCAGGCAGTCCTCCCACCTCAGCCTCCCAAAGTACAGGCATGAGCCACCGTACCTAGCCTAGTTTTTTGAGACAGAGTTTCCCTCTTGTTGCCCAGGCTGGAGTGCAATGGTTCAATCTCAGCTCACTGCAACCTCCCCCTTCTGGGTTCAAGCGATTCTACCTCAGTCTCCTGAGTAGCTGGGATTACAGGCATGTGCCACCATGCCCGGCTAATTTTTTTGTATTTTTGGTAGAGACGGGTTTCTCCATGTTGGCCAATCTGATCTCTAACTCCTGACCTCAGGTAATCTTCCCACCTCAGCCTCCCAAAGTGCTGGAATTACAGGTGTGAGTCACCATGCCTAGCTAGCGACTGGCCTATTTTTAAAATTTTCTTAAAGATACAGGCTTTAGTTGCAATTCATTTGGAAAACAGAAAAAATATTTCTAAAACAAGACAAATAACGATTTAATATCTGTAGAAAACAAAGAGTTTCCACTTGAGGAGGAGGAAAAGACAAATAGCCCAAGAGAAAAATAGGCAAAGGATATAAGTAGATAGTTCAGAAAATGAGATGTCAAAATGGCCAGTAAACCTATGAGATATGCTCAGTAGTTCTCTGGAGTTAAAAGAATTATAATACTCATCACTAACTGTTGGGCCTATGAAAATAGATGAGAAGGGTACACTTTTCAAAATTTGAATTTTAGGAAAGTAAACTATTCAAATTTAAAATACACATATCTCAGATTAGGCCAGGCATGGTGGCTTATGCCTGTAATCCCAGCACTTTGGCTGAGGCGGGCAGATCACCTGAGTTCCAGAGGTCAAGACCAGCTTGGCCAACACAGTGAAACCTCATCTCTACTAAAAACTCAAAATAGCTGGGCGTGGTGGTGCATGCCTGTAGTCCCAGCTACTCAGGAGGCTGAGGCATAAGAATCACTTGAATCTGGGAGACAGAGCCTGTAGTGAGCCCAGATTGCACCACTGTACTCCCTGCCTAGGTGGCACAGTTAGCTTCTGTCTCAAAAAAAGAAAGAAAATACATATATCTTCAACCCAGCAAGTCCACTCCTGGGAATAAATTCTATAGATATAAAAGCCTCACAAGGATGTTTACTTCAACATTATTTTAATGGCAAAAACCTGAAATCAACCTAATGGCCATTAGTAAGAAAATAGTTTAATAAATTGTGTTTTACAATAATGAAATACCATGTAACTCAAAAAGATTATTAATTTATATTTTCATGTATATGTAAAATTAGGTGAGAAGAGTAAAATGCCAAAAGATGAATACAGTATGATCTCTCTTACAGCAATAGTAAAAACTCTTATGTGTGTGTGTATGTAAGTTTGTACATGATTTATAAACATGGAGAGAGGTGTGAAAGGCTACATACACCAAGCTCAATGTCAACAATGATTACCAGGGGAATGAGTGGAAGAGGATTGGCAAAATAAATGTATCATCTTGCATTGCAGGATGTTTGCTGTCTCTGGCCCCTGCCCACTCAAATGCCTGTAGCACTCTCCTGTCATTCCAACAACTAAAAATCTATCACCACCACCCCCCATTTTCCAGAAGCCTTGAGGAGCAAGGTGGTGCTTCTCTTGTTGAGAACCACCTAGTAAGAGTAACTGAAGTGTTTACAAAGATGATAGTGACTGAGCTAAATCTTGAAGTATGAGTGGGATTTTTAAACCAAAGTTCCTCTGGGAGGCAGAGTGTTATAAAAGAGGGAACAACGTAATGTAAACTGCCTTGACTGATGAAGTGATGTGTCTATGTTGGAAAATAGTTAGAAATAAAGTTGGCTAGGCAGAGTGAAGTTAGAAGGGTGTTGATCAGAAGGAGTCAGACAAAGGTGAGAGGAGGGGGGAAAGTGTCATTTCTCTCTCTATTGCGTCCCACATAGTACCGCCAAGTTAATTTTCTAGAACATTGTCCTGTTCAACAGTCCATTCAATAATGCCTTTGCTGCATGCTCAAGGCATTTCACCTCATCGTATTCATCTAACTTTATCTCTTATTATGCCTTAAAATTAATTAGGTAAGGCTGGCTAGCCGATCAAACTGATTATTTCCTACTTCTTCCTTGTCGATATGCTCGCTTCATGCTTTTATTAATGTCTTTTTCTATAGAAATCTATCATTCTGCCTAAACAAAATTTTGATATTCTTAGCAGCCTTCTTCCTAATGAAACTGGTCCATACCACTCCATACCATCCTGATATCACCTTTCTTTCTTACAGTTTTTGTTTTTTCCCATAATATTTAGCATGAAACTATACTTGGCTTTTTATGCTTCTCACTCATGTTTCACTGAATAATTTGTATTCTCCTAAAGAGTTGTGTGAGGTTAGGATACATGCCTCACGATATTTTTGTAAGCCTCCAAAGTAGTTCTCGTTTTTGTTTTTTGATCAGCCTAGATAGGCATTGTGTTTTGTATGAAATTAGTTGATAAAGCAGTAAATACTGAACACCTGAAAACTCAAATTGCGCGTTGATAGATAACGCTTTAATATTGCAGTATTTTAATGTTTCTTATTTTAACTTACCAAATATTTTGTATCTGGTTCAATAGCTAGATTTAATTATTTTGGGGCTTAGGAACCAAGATGGATATATCTCTGTGTCCCTGGCAGTGCCTAGTAGATTGCATTGTTGATAATAACTACTCAGTATTTTTGAGTTGGATTTATTTTTATTTGCTTTATCAATTTGCCTTCACTGTAACCTTCACTGTAACCACGTTCAAACCATTGTTTTGTTTTGCTAACAACAGAGGGCACCATTAGGACACTTGTACACCCAGTAGTCCTATCCCAGTCCTTGATAGCTTTTTGAGCCACACTTTCATTTTCCTAAGTAATTCATAGAAATTTGGATATTATACTAACTGGCAGTGGCCCATTTCTGCTTATAGAGAAATCCTGGCTTCAGTTTATTTGAAAAAGAGTATTTGTCACATTTTGATCCTTTGTAGTTTTCAAACTTTTTATTCTCTCATTATTCTTTGTCTGAGTGAAATCTTACCCATAATCTTACTATATTAATTAGATTAATTTGTTTTCTGAAGGGAGAAGATGGGGTGAAGGCAGGGAGAAGATGGGGTGAAGGCAGCAATCTGGAGCCCCACCTTTATACTCCCTTTTCCTTCTCATTGCTCATCCAAAGAGCACAGCTTGAAAATCACTATAACTCATCTAATTTTACAAATGCTTTTTAAAATACTTGTTTTGTGGTATTTCACTTAAGGACTTAGTTGAGAAATAGAAACATTTTAGTTTTAAAGTGATTTGTTTTAAGTACAAAGGGAAATGCTATGGAATACATTTATTGTTTCAGCAATAAAAGAGTTAATATACTAAGCAGCAGAGACTGAGATACTGCATAGGGATAGTGTTTTCTGTCTCTGTCATTTGTGGTTTTAAGAAAAAGGGGGTGGTGTTCTGCATTTGAAAGGACTTTAATGAATGCTGTCAGTGTTTGTGAGACCTAATGGTCAGTATGGGAAAGGAGAGCCTGGAAAGTGGTCTAGCTGCTTCAGGATAGGTGGATGAGAGTTTGCTCTGATTGAACGGAATGTTCCACCGTGTTTCATCTTTATTCATTTTCCTTTGTTCTTTAAAATCTGATATATTGACATAAAAGTAATTGTAGATATATATATGAATGTGATTTATTTTCCTTTACATCTTTTTGTTGTGTACAGCAGGGCATATACTTCTCTTGTCTTGGTTGGATGCACAAATCTGTGTGCAGTGCTTTTTGCCCGTTGCCTAGACGATCACTTGGTTTCTCTGAGGATGTCTGGTTCTCGTAAAGAGTTTGATGTGAAACAGATTTTGAAAATCAGATGGAGGTGGTTTGGCCATCAAGCATCATCTAATTCTACAGTTGACAGCCAGCAGGGAGAATTTTGGAACCGAGGACAGACTGGAGCAAACGGTGGGAGAAAGTTTTTAGATCCATGTAGCCTACAATTGCCTTTGGCTTCAATTGGTTACCAAAGGTCCAGCCAACTGGATTTTCAGAATTCGCCTTCTTGGCCAATGGCATCCACCTCTGAAGTCCCTGCATTTGAGTTTACAGCAGAAGATTGTGGCGGTGCACATTGGCTGGATAGACCAGAAGTGGATGATGGCACTAGTGAAGAAGAAAATGAATCTGATTCCAGTTCATGCAGGTTGATTATTTTCTTACTGTTAGAAAAGGGGTGTGGGGGTTTATCTCTAAAATGTTTTAAAATAATTTAGTATTTATTATTTAAAATCTGATTATATTTATACATCTGCATACACATATATAATATCTTGCTATGAACATGCGGTACTTCTGCTAGGATTTTTTTTAATGCTCTAACCTGTAAAATTACAAAGACAACAAATAGCATTCATTTTGAAATATCTTGTGTTCTATATATAGATCTGCCTCAGCTTTGAAAAAATATATAGTAGTAATTTTATGTATCATTGCCTGTGGTTTGATTCATTCATTAACATTCTGTATTCATATCAAAACTATAGAAGACATTTCTATAGTATGAAATTTTATGTGACATTTTAGATTATAACAGATTGTAGTCATTTTTTAATTAAATGAAATGGAAAGGTTTTACAAAGAGATGCACATTTTAGTTACCAATGTTTGGACACAATTGTAGTTGTCAATAATATTTTTCTTATGGTTATTCTCTTTGTCCTGTATGTGTTACAGCTCTCCAGACTAATATAGAGAATACTAAGTAACATGTCTCTAAGATGACAGCTACTAATTCCTGTCACCTTCACTTTCACTGAAATGTGTGCTATTTGAGGAAATGAAGGACATTTCCTTTAGGAGAGTTTAAGGGAATGTAGAGGGGCTAGATGTGATTATCTGGTAAAAAGGGGATAGGAAGAAGGGGAAATCAGAAGAAAGAAAATAAAGAAAAAGATGGTAATTTATAATGATTTTATCCACCTTTATCTTGGAATCTGGCTCTATCTTTGAAATGCATTTTCTTATTAATCAGTTTAAACTACAATAAGATATTATGTAACAAGTTAGAGCATGAAAGTCATCTTTCTAAACCATCTTCATTCAAAAATGGTTTTAAGTTTTTAAAGGCACAAATACCTTATCATTTGTCTAATTTAATTACTATATTTTTCTTTTAAAATTTCTGTGCAGCTTTTGATAACACTTCTGATTTGTAAGTTGGTTATTAAAGATGTAGGCACATATGGATTGAGACAAAATGAATTTATATATTTAAGTATCTCTTACTTAAGGATATTTACCACCTTTTTCTCTTCTAACCTTAAGAACTTGTGATAAAAAATATATAGTCTGGTTGTCTGCCACCATTTGCTTAATGGAGAGTGGGGAATATCCGTATGTAGGTAAATAGTGTATTCAATTTAAATTTTTAAAAATTAGTTCACGACTTGACATTATCTTAAGAAAATAGAAGCCACTAATAATTTAATTTGGAGATCAATTGAGCTAATATGGTTTCATTGTTTTATATTTTCTTTGAAGACTTGTTGCCATAAAGAGAACAACTTATATAGTAAAAGATTCATTATTTTTGTGGAGAACCAAAGAGTAAATGTTTCATTTGAAAGTAAATATATCAATAATATTTTAACAAAATTAGAAAAAATAAAACATTCATTTACCAACATAAGTAAATTCACATATAGAACTCTTAACATGTATCTACTACAGGAGAAATTATAATGTGAATACAAAATTTTTATACGTGTATAATCTTGGAAAAATTACACACACATTGGTTACTGTAATTCCTTACAACAAAGGTAGTTTGCATGGCTAATGATTATTTAAGTAAAATTAAGCTATTCTTGAGTATGCATACAGAAATATTTTGGTAGGATATTTATTATGAAAGAAAAATATTGTCCTTTTTTGACTGAGAGATTGCTATGTGCATTCTTAAAAAATTTTAAATTGACATTTTTAATTTATAGGAGATATAAAAATAAAATGATGTTAAAAAAAATCTAAAATAAATGAAGTTGTTTAAAAAAATGCTACTCAAGAAGACTCATCAAAGTAAGACGGATGTAGACAGTTTACACCTTCAGTAACCAAACTATTCCAAAAATAAAATGTACTGCAAGAAAATGTTTTTGATCTTTAGATATGAGGGGAAATATGTCAAAGCAATTTAATATTTCACATGGTTTGAAATTTCAATCTTATTACAAATAAGGAAAAAAAATTCAAGATTTTAGAAATGTCCTTTGTGTGTATATTCTTTTTCTCCATTTTTTCCCTAGATTAAATAGATTTAATTCTTACATCTTCCTTCAGCCCCCTGGCTCTGAGTCTTTGACCTTATCATAAAGATACATTTATTTGCCCTCAGCTTTTTGATTAAGCGAGCAGTCAGACTTCTCTAAGTAGTTGTCCATCTGCTATAAACAAATCAAAGCCTATCACTGTTAATGTCACACTGACATTCATCAACCTTTTTTTTTTTTTTTTTTTTTTGACATGGTGTCTCACTCTGTCACCCAGGCTGGAGTGCAATAGCACAATCTCAGCTCGCTGCAACCTCTGCCTCCCAGGTTCAAGCCTTTCTCCTGCCTTTGTCTCCCAAGTAGCTGGGACTACAGGTATACACCACCACGCCCAGCTAATTTTTGTAGAGATGGGGTTTTACCATGTTGGCCAGGCTGGTCTTGAACTCCTGACCTCATTCTGGCCACCTCAGCCTCCCAAAGTGCTGGGATTACAGGCGTGAGCCACCATGCCCGGCCTTATCAATTTTTTTAATGTAACTTTAGAATAATTCTTTTTCTTATATAATATTTGCAAATAATGAAATATATAGTAAACATTTTGAGCATACTACAGATTGATATCTTAAAATATTAAAGACTTAATTAGGAAATACATGATACACTAATTATTTGTTTTAACTGTCATAATATTTCCATAGATTTCAGAACTTAAACTGAAATTTTGAGTTATTAGAAAAAGGGGAAGACAGCTAAGTGGTTTTACATACTCAGAATCTCATTAGCTATGGTGGATCTGGACAGTTTAAAGCAGGAATTAAGAGGCAGCATATGCTGATCATGTTTTATCAATTGTATTCTAACAAGGAAAAATGTCTGCCTGAGTCTTAGACTTCTGGTAATTTCTATTACCATTCACCTAAGTGATTTAAAAGTTTCTTGCCTTTTAACTTTGATCTTGCCTCTGTAGCCTAGCTACCTTTTCTCTCTGAGAGTCATCCAAGTCATTACTTTGGTATTAAAATACAAACTTAGTCTTCTTATAATATGAGGAATTTTAGATCTTAAGTAACAGAGTTGTCACCTTTTAGGTGAGCAATAGGATCCTAAGTCCTTAATTGAAGATGAATTCATACCAGGGCTAGCAAAATCTATATGGTGGCCCACTGTGTAACCATATTGTAAACATGGTGTATACTTCCCTTGATTTATTGACCTTGACATTATGTAATTTTTGACATATTTTCAACTGGAGGAATTTTATTTCAAATTTCATTTATAAAGTTAGAGCTTAATATCATCAGGCTATTTTTTACTCCTTTTGCATACAATTTTACTGCAGTTTACAAGTACAGACGCTTCCTGACTTAAAATTTTTCACCTTTATGATGACGATAAAGCAACATGTATTCAGTACATTCTGTGACTTGCAATGAGGTACATTCCATTAAATCCACAATATGTTGAAAAAATATAGTAAGTTGAAAGCATATTTTCAATTTTTGATGAGTTTATCCAGATATAACCCCATCATAAGTTGAAGAGCATCTGTGTTAAAAAATAGTCATTGCTGATAGTAAACTGGTGCTTCCTAACTGTGAGGCACTGTTCCAAGCACTTTACTATATTAACTCATTTAGTCTTCACAACAAATTCTTGAGATAGGTTGCTACTATTATCAACTAAACCTAATTCTAATTTTATAGGTGAGTCAAGTGAGGCACAGAAAGGCTAAATAACTTGCTCAAGGTTAGTAAGTAAAATAGCTGCATTTTTAAAAGAGAAACTTTATTTTTTAAGAACCATTTTACATTTACAGGAAAATTACAAAGATGGTACAGTAATTTTCTATATACCGTATACCCAGGGTCCACTGTTATTTATATCTTATGTTAATATGGTGCGTGGGTTACTAGTAATGAACAAGTGGTGTTACCTTATTGTTAACAAAACTCCGTATTTGATTCACATTTCTTTAGTTTCTTACCTAATGTCCTTTTTCAGTTCCAGGATCCTATCTAAGATACCACATTACATTAAATCATTATGTCTCCTTAACCTCCTTTTGGCTATGACAGTTTCTTAGATTTTACTTGCTTCTGATGACCTTGGCAGTTTTGGGAGTACTAATCAGGTTTTTGTAGAATGCCTTACGCAATTGAGATTTGTTTCCCCATAATTAGACTGAGGTTATGGGCTTTGAGGAGGAATACCACAGAGATAAAGTGCCATTTTTATCACATTATATCGAAGATACACACCATTAATCTGACTTATCACTGTTTGTATTGACCTTGATCATTTGGAAATAGTTGCATTTTTTAACTCAATGTTGTAGATTTCATGCTCTTAAAGAACACTGTACTATTAACGTATTGCCTACATACCTCTATGACATTCATTTAGTCACAGTTCAACTGTAGCACATAGCTAATTATTCATTATAACCAGTTTCACCTTCTTTCTCCAGTTAATTCTCTTCTCTTAGTTCTTGAGAATGCCAAACTTTGCTAGGTTACAGGAATAATCTCTTGACTCACCCAGAACTCTTTATTTTTTTTATTTAAAAAATTTTTTTTATTTTTATTTTTTTGGTGTGATGGAGTCTCATCCAGGCTAGACTGGAATGCAGTGGTGAGGTCTCAGCTCACTGCAATCTCTGCCTCCTGGTTTCAATCGATTCTCTTGCCTCAGCCTCCTGAGTAGCTGGGATTACAGGTGCATATTACCATGCCCAGCTAATTTTTTTGTATTTTTAGAAGAGATGGGGTTTCACTGTGTTGGTCAGGCTGGTCTTGAACTCCTGAGCTCAAATGATATGCCCACCTTGGCCTTTCAAAGTGCTGAAATTTTAAGTGTCAGCCGCCACACCCAGCCCCATAAATTTATCCACAGTCTTCTCACCTGTCTTACTGGCTGCTTGCCTCTCTGTCTT